TTCGCGGATGACACCCTGGATGTATCCAAGAATGTTTTCGGGTAGTTTTAAAGTTGCCGGCATTTTCGCAGCTGCAACGGGGAGCACGCGAGTTTTGTGGCGTCCCGCAAGGTGTCTCTCTTGTCCCGGGTTGGTGGCCCACAGCTCGCCCAGCTCACTCCACCTCTGCCTGGGATAAACATTTGTCCGTGTCGTGCGTGTGCTAAACTGCTCTCATAACAACATGCTCCTTGTGCTTGTTATGGCTCCCAAACGAGTGAAGAGAGAAAAGGTCATGTATTTCTCTAATACGTATTCCTCGCTATGCCTAGCAACAGGAGCGGGTGAAAGGAGTGACTGCTAGTTAGCCTGTTGTCTGCAATTTTAACTCTCCTCGCTCCCTGCCATATTTCACTGGATTTACTGTTATTAATTGTGTTTACTGACAGAATAGTGTTTAACAGTGATTAATCATGGCATCGTAGCCATTATAGCTCATCATTGTAACCACCAAGCTACTGGGCCAAGCTTTGAGGTGTTATGGTTTTTTTCAACTCGTATTTTTCGGTAGATATACAGTACGTAACCTTCTTTTTCACATGCACACACCATCCTACATACATGTTGTGAAAACGTATACGTACAGTACAATATTTCACCACAATTACCGACATCCTTCATGTTTGGTTGGCTAGATGGCTACGAAAGAAATTCTGTAAGTTTGATCTACGTATCAACCCAGCTGGCGCTGGCGCTGTATGGCAACTTGACCAACTCAACTTTAATAATAAAGCACGGAGTTGACTTGAGGGTAGACTTGCATTTTTTCTACATTACATTTTGTTGTCGTGTTACTCATTACGGTATTTGTGAGAGGATTTCCCCATTATTATTTATTTGTTTGTATTTTAATAATAATAATAATTAACGGTTTATTGAAAGAACATGGCAGCCGGAAGGCTGAAAATATACCGTTATATAATTGGGGAATGGGTCACCTGATTGACAAATAACATAAGTGATACAAATATGATATAGAATAACTAAGTGGGGAGAAGGTTGTACTACAGGGCATTTCAACATTATGACAGTGCAAAAAGATAAGATTGGATGGGAGTGAATACATACACTGGTTGATTACGAGTTGTTGATAATTTTTATAATGTGCAAAAAGATAAGATTGGATGGGAGTGAATACATACACTGGTTGATTACGAGTTGTTGATAATTTTTATAATGGTTGGAACTGGGCTGTTCTTATAGTGTGTGTGTGTGTGCGTGTGTGCGTGCGTGCGTGCGTGCGTGTGAAATAATTGTCCTCAGGGCAAACACATAAAGGGAATATACAATTTTTTGTCACTCATCTGAACTAGGAGGATTCCATGAGTCACATTATATCATTATAACGCAAAGTAATAATAATAATTAATAAGGGAGAAAGCATTTTCTCCCAAACTTAATCAATATGACTCATAAATGTTATATTATTCGTAAGTTAATGTTATACAAGTCACTCCTATGACCAATATAAACAATAACTCACTATTTCGTATCTGTCTCCCGACTCTTATTTATCAAGTATCCCTTAGCTCAATGAAACTTATTTATTTAAATTTGTTTTTATAAAATAATTTCATTCAGAACATTTATTGAGAGGGATCATCAAGATCTTTATTTGTTGCCAATCAGGGGCACAGACATTATCCCCAAGTAAACACTTAAGGGAAAATTCCTACTTGCGCACTATCACCCGGCAGGGTTGACAGTGCTGAGCCACTAACATAGCGTTCTATTGGCAGCAATGTTCACTGTTAATCTAGCAATATTTATTGGGTTGAGAATTCCACCCTGAATTGGTCTCATATAACCCATAGAAGGTGTAAAGTCCATTTCAACATAACTCTAGATTGCTAGTAAGACCGGAAGGTCAACATTCCGGAAGGAACGCTAAGTCTAGCAGCCTCGCTAAAGTTTGCTTGAACCCGCTACTGAGGACATCAAAGTTATGATGAGACAAACTCAGCTCTGGCCTTTTTGCTGAGAACAAATAGAAACCCAAGGGCGGAAGCCCAAAGGTTTTGTGAACGTACATAAGATTAGGGAGAGAGATAGTCATTATACAGTGAGTTCTGCTCTAACGCGTGTTTTGACAACACGAATTGGCTGTCGCGATTTATGAATAGAAGAACGATATTTGTAAAACGCGAACACTTGTTTGCTGTAACGCGGTTTTTGCTTACTATTCTCCAATTTTGTGGTATTAACTGTGAATATGGTAAAGAAGAATATCTCCAAGAAGTGTTCTGGTGATCGCATTCCCAGTGATGATCGTAAAAGAAAGGCTATAACCCTTGAAGAGAAGCTCGATGTTATCTACCTCAAAATCACCCTTCTCCCCCATCAAGTTATATTCATATTTTTTCAAGGTAAAGTGTTACATTTACTGTATGATTTCATTATTAGATATGAATGTAACATTTATTTAGACTGTGCTATCCTTTGTGTTAGGCTAACTACTAATTTTTTTTGGATTTCGATTAGTAATCTGCACCTAACCCTATTTTCTCTATTAGCCCTGTTATTTCTATTACGCGAATTTCTATAACACGATGTTTTACTAGAACACAACTATCGCGTTATAGCAGAACTGACTGTATTCATATTAGCACGTGAATAATTGGGACAAAGAGATCGTAACCAATATACATATATATGTATACAGTATATATAAATAGATATATTCACAGTGGTCCCTCGGTTAACGAGCACAATCCGTTCCAGCAGGTTGCTCGTTAACCGAAAAACTCGTTAACCGAAACCATTGTTTCAATGGGTTTTTGGGTAATTGGTTCCAGCTCACCGAAAATTGCCGAAATTCAACAAAAACGGTAGAAAAGTACACTTACTTTGAGGTGTGTATGTAGAAGGCTCCTGGATGATGATGATGATGTTGGGAATTAGAATGGGGGTGGAGGAGAAGGAAGAAGAGAAGGCATTGGGGTGGAAGAGAAGTCACCCCATGGTGCCATTTCACCCATAAAATTTTAGCTCTCTTGGTGTAATTCAAGATTATTTTCTTTAAATCAACACTGTACTGCATTATATATTGTCAATATGTAAAATATATTTCAAAATGACCAATAATTTGCTTGGAAACACAGAAAAAAAGCATTTAGTTGAAGAGAGTCTCAAGCAAGATGTTACCTCCACTGAAAACAGAGAGAGACTATCGCCTGTCTGGTGTGTTAACAGGCTGGATGGCACGCCAGAAACTAGTTTCTTTACCTTCAATTATGCTCAATAATTGTTAAAATGACTAAAAAAGTTAATATTAAACTTTTAAAATTATTGAATAGTATAAACTTCTTGATATTTACTAAAACAGTAAGGAATTTAAGCCCTAAAACCGATTACTGTATTGGCGGACTAATATTACAGCTGGTGGACCGCCAAATGCAAGCGAAAACATGTTGAAGTCGGCTCGTAAAAAACTCGTTAATCGAGGGATTGCTCGTTAACCGAAGTTAAGAATCTTATGGAAGGTAAATCGTTAACCGAAATCTCGTTAACCGAGGCGCTCGTTAACCGAGGGACCACTGTATTCTCTTTTAGTGAAGACGAGCCCGGGAGGGCGCAGCGACATTCACTGAGTGACTTAAAGGCAAGGAATAGTCATAACGATCTAAACGACTCACAAAGAAAATGTGTTTTGGTCGCCATACTGACCCAAAGTCGTATAAGAAAATGTCCCAAATACAATAATTGAGAGACATAACAAAATGAAAGTCACTCTACTTCATCACTGTGCTATTAAGTACAAATATCATATATAATATCCTTGCGGAGGTGAGTATTTCAGCAATTAGAACACAAATTCTCGGAGCTTCCCTTTGTGTGTTTTATAGCTGAATCGCCAGGCAAGAGATGAGCTTCACAGGGTGCATGGAGTCTGGTTGAAGGAGGGACTTTCAAAATAGCAATTAAATGCCAGGTAGCGACGTGTCCTCCTAATATTACTTATTAAGTAATTCTTAGATGTTTTAATTGCCTGTATGTTGGTCTGGCGAATTGGCTAAGAATTAACATACCTAAGTAGCATTGCTGATCGTCGCATTCAGAGCATTGAACAAAAACTGGTTTTTAGAAAAAAAACGGCTTTTTTGTACACAAGTAAAAATTTAACGCCCTTCCTCCGATCAGCAAATATTATTTGCGGATTTGGTGATTCGTGGCCATTTTGAGAACCTAACCCCCGCGAATTTGAAGGGCATGCTGTCTCTACTAATAGAATATTTTTATGTTTAATTTTGCATATTAATGTACTGTATGACTAATCCTATACAAAAGCTGTAGTACTGTACATGGAAGTAAAAATTCTAGTAATTATGCAACATGTTTAGGGATGCACCTTAGCATAAAAATGAGGATTTACTGTATAAAATCTCTTATCCTTTTGAGTTTGAAGGTTTTGGTCACTGTAGAACTACAAACTTAAGTTACAAAATTTATTTCTGAATCTAAGAAAAAAAAAAGGAGGGTTCAGCAGCAGTTTAATGTCCCAATAGTTTTAGTTCACTCTTGGGGCACCCCTGGGTATCCCTGTTGAGAATGGGTACCTGACTTTAATTGCAGAAGTGACCGTAGCTTAATGCATTGCTGTCCACTTGATCTCCATGTGTACTAAGGCTTAGCATTCAAACTTCCCCGAATGCACTGCCAGGCCTATGGGACACTTTCTAAATAAAATCAACATTTCTGAATTGAAATAAAATTATCTCCTGTTTATTTTTGTAATCAGGGTGATTCCCTGAAAGGGAAGTTGTTGAAAATGATACTTTTCAAAGAAATTGATACAGGTAGCCAAATCAATAAATAATTAGATCAAGTGATACAAGTGTAGCTGCAGTTTTTCTCTCTTTAGTGTGCATAGAAGATTTGGATATTTTATATGGAATGTTGGAAGAAGATTACATGATGATAATGGTGATACCATTAAAACTTTCATAAAATGTCCTTTACAGACACTGAAGGAGTTGGACCGTGAGCTGGAGGACCACTACATACTACTTATCAAGGCTACTGAGGACTGTCTCACTTTACCTGAGCCAGTTGTTTTCTTTGACCCCACGGATGACACACTTTTGAAAGTCCATATCTTTGTTAATGACATCAATGACAACGCTCCCAAGTTCACTCGTGAGGTGTTCACTGGAGGCATAACCACTGCTTCAGACTTTGGTCTTGAGGTCATGAGATTAACAGTAAGATTTTAATATTTTATTTTAGTCATTAATATAGCAATAGAATTGGTAATCTTATGTTTTCTCCAAGTTATCATTGGAGATTTAGAGCCTTCATTTTATTGTAGACAAATTTTGATTACAAGGAATATAAGACTATGCAGATCATAACTTTGGAACACCAGAAAAATAAAACACCAGAAAACATAAATAAAATTTTGGAAAATGGAACTCAGTCTATCACTTGAATTAATTGTGATAGTGCAATTATTTTGTAAAAAATTGAAGAATATGTACTGCGGATTATGTTACCATATTCAGTTTTAGTAATATCTTCATTAGCCGTAATCCCTCAAACCTGGAACTCTCCGATAGCCTGGATTGAAACTTTCTCAGAAAATCATTCCCAAAGCCAGAATTTTCCGGAAAATTCCAGCTTTGGGAAAAATTTTCCGAGGGACACATTATCTGGAAAATTCTAAGAAAATTTTCCCGGTACCCAGAAATTCCGGAGAATTCCGGCAATGGGGGATTTTTATTCCGGGTTTGAGAGATGAAAATCGGGTATTTTCCGGAAATTTTGAGAACATTTTTCCGGTACAGGGAAAATTGAAGGGATGGATATTTTTCTGAGTTCGAGAGATAATGTACTGTGCAGTTGCTGGAACTTCCAAAAACATTTTTCCGTAACCAGGAAAATTCCGAGGATGAGGGAATTTTTGTTGGCTTTGAGAGAGCCGTCTCTTTACCGGGAAATCTCACATTCCCAGAAGTGCTCTGCACCAATTGTTCCAACTAACAGAGATATCACTTAATAACAATCTCATCCTGATTAGTAATCATGAGAATGATAATAACCTAAGCAATTTTTTGGCATTAAATTTTGATGAAATATGGATATTTTGATATAGGATACTCATGTACATCATAACTAATCATAATCAGTACTGAGAATGTCTATGGGATTATAGTGATCACTATAATAATCACCTTAACTGTTTTTCTGGTACAAAATGATGTACATGTTGGAAATAAAGATATACTGTACTAGTAATACAAACAAAGATTGTTGCATACAAAATAATGTACACACACACAGGATCACATTCCGGCATAAATACATATGCATAACTCCATGGGTGGCAAGCGTGGTGGGTGTGGCACGGTGGTTGTCATGTGGGCTGTGGCATGGTCTAGTACACACACTCTTAGTAAGCCACAATAATCACCTCATTATTAAATTGTACACCATGTCATTATCACGTACATGTCCTTAACGTTAATTACAAAAATGACGTGTCACTGGCACTGTCATGGCGGGAGTCACTACACTGCAGATGTGTTATCCAGGAGTTCCCTTGGCCTCAGAATCAAGAGTCAATAGATGTGGGAAGGTAATGAAATAAAGACAATGGTTTTGGCCAGGGTGGCACTTACGAAGGTATGGTCCACATCGCCTCGTATATCTTTATCCCATCATCCAAGATACCCTTCATACTCACATACTTGAGGGTCCTTTCATAATTGAGCCTGTTCAAAAAAAACAAAATTGGGGGATTTTTTTATTTTTTTCAGAATTTGAAATAAAATAAGCTCATCCTATCTCAGTTGATGAATACTCTGGTCACTTGACAGCTTTTTAACTCACAAAATCCTTAGCAGAAGATTAAAGAAGGGATTTACAAGAAAAATTCACATCATTATTGGCATTTCTTAGTGGTTCCCATCTTAACAGATTGAAATGTGCAGAGTACTCGATAAAAAGAAGAAAAAATACAGCCACCAGACCAATTTATCTGGCTTCAAGGAAACCAGGTTTACCTGAAAACTGGTTGCTTCTTTAACCTGGTTAATTTTGAATGATCGCTTTTGGCTGGCCACATTGTTTTCCTATTGGTAATGCCACGGTGGCACACACCTCAGTTTTAAGCATCTCTCTACTTTTGTGGTTATTTACCCCAATTTATTATCATTATCATCCAATAACACTTGTAAAAGACTAGCAGGAAGTCCACTTGATGATGGAATGTCTAAAAAATAATAATTTTTGCTTCAACAACAATAATGCATTTTGTTTGCTTGTTATGATGGGTGATTCTACCCATTCTCTCTCGCCAGTATTTTTATGAGTGGTTTGTAACAATCTTCTTACTGCCTAACCCAGTGGTTCTCAACCTGGGGGCCATGGCCCCCAAAGGAGCCACGGCGAGCTGTTATAAATTGTACATTTCCAAATAATGTTGGGAATCTGAATTAAACAAAACTTCTATTAATTATTTTGACTTGGCAGAAGAGAATTTTCATTCTTTTTTTGTCATTTTGTTTAATCATAACAACAATACAATTTTAATATTTACATACTCTGGTGCTAATTTTTTATATATTTTTTTACTGATTATTTAAGATTTCGCAGGTCCAGTCCCTGTCTGTGTGACAGGCGCTGGATCAAGCTGCTGAACTGACTTGTTCAGTACGTGTCCTTGTGTCATCCCTTTGCAAGTGGTGATAGGACCGAATGATCTCAGTCTGGCCTGGGATGCCATCACGAAAACAGTGGAGTGTATTGTCTCTGAACCATATATTGTGTTTGAGCTTGACTCAAGCATAATATACATACTCCATAATTGGTGTTACTTATTTTGTTTCATAATTCATGTGGTCGCTGCTTTACGTGAGTGAAATATTTGTACACTTCCTTTATTAATTATTTTCTTATTTATTGGTGCCATTGTTGTTCATGCTCATTCTTTACCTATATAATCCTACCATTTTTAGTGCTAAATTTGTATGACTCATTATTCTTCTCATTCTTCCAAGTTGGACAGTGCTTGTCAAAGGAGGCGTGTTCTTGCTTACAGGAAGTACACTTCAGCTTGCTAGCTTGAGTGTGAATGTTTACCTGTGTGCATGTTTGTGTATGACTGTATGTGTGCTTTATGTGTGAGTGCATGGGCGTGTTATGTATGTGAATGTGTGTGTGTGTGTTTGCCATTCTAACTCTTGTCCTATTTATCTGTCCTTCTTTATCATTCTTTAGTCTTTATCCCTTGTCTGTTTGTCTGTTCTGGGAGAAAAATGAAGGAGGCCACGAGGATGTTGAAAATTCCTCAAGGGGGGAATGGAGTGAAAAAGGTTGAGAACCACTGTCCTAACCACTTAGTACCTGAGAAAGACAGAGACAGGCAAGGGGACATGTGTGTGCTTGCAGGATGCCAGGAAGAGGATGAAATTTCAAATGCTTCAGCTAAAAATCTGTAGATTTTATCGGGAGTTTTTAGAGTGTTTGAGTGGAATCCACTTTATTGTAGGGACTTTTCACGTGGATGGTCACAAAAAGTTGACCACTTAACTGCAAAACTGCAGATAGTGAATACTCTTATAATGATGACCTCCTGTGTGTGTGTGTGTGTACATACATACATACATACATACATACATACATACTGTACTAGGCTTTGGACCAGAAATCTGCAAAATCCAGGAAACCAGTTCACATCATCACCTTAGGTCCCAAACTTGGGGTTAAATGGTCTGGTACCTGTACCAAATTTCATCAAAAGTTGCCCGCTCATTGATGTGTTTGTTCGTTTTAATCAAATTGATTAGATATATTCTGGATGAAGGCTTCTTTACAGTACTTTATATACCATAATAATAATAAGCTGTAAAATATGGACTTACTGTACTCTTGTTAATTTGCAGGCCATTGATCCAGATGCAGGAGAAAACAGCCGTCTGAGATACTACATGGATGGTCGTGTTCAGGAGACCCTTTCAGAAAATTTGGACAACATACGCAGATCTCCATTCATTGTTGATCCTGTTTCTGGGATTGTGAAGTTAAATTTTGATCCTCAGAAAGGAATGAAAGGATACTTTGATTTTAAGGTAAAAGAAAGAATGGGCACATGTAATACCTTTTCTTCTAATCCACCTTTCTCTTTATCTGTACTCTTTAGGTACTCACTATATATTCTTATTTTAGCATACACTATTTATAATACCTTGGTACAGTATTTTCTCGATTTAACGAACTAATTCGAGCCATCCCTTCCCGTTAAATCAAAATTTCCATTAAATCGAGCTTTCCATTATTTTCGCTCAATTAAGCAAACTAGTTCACTAAATTGAGCATGATTCCGTTAAATTCTGCGCCAAATGCGTTGCTTGGCGCTTGGGGTTTGTTTACATCCGCTCAGTCTCTATTCTGCCACCGCTGCATGTGTTACTCACTGCTACCTCTCGGTCTACATCTGAGTCAACTAACTACTGTGCTTAGACATCATGCTGAAAGTCTCTCAGAAGTCTCAGAAAGGAAGTGGTTTTTGGGAAAAAGTCAAAAGAGTGCGGCTGTCAATTGGATTTTTGGGGGAAATTATAGAAAATAAAAAAAATAAATAAAAAAACACCGAACCCCCTAGTTGAAGGTAAACCATGAATAATGTCTCAAATTTTTTTATGTACATATCATGTGTCTGAGGTGCCTCCATAAGTGTGTGCGTATTAATGGAATTAGTCTTGATTTAGCGAATTAGTTCACTAAATCGAGTGAAATATAACGGAAAAAAATTCCTTTTGCTTGATCGAGAGCTCGTTATATCAGATACCGTTAAATCAAGAGTATACTGTACTTTTTCTTTACTACCACCTCTATGGTATTGCATTACTTCTGCAAAACTTAGGGATTGATCCTGCAATCCTGTTCCAGATCATGAATACAATGGTAATTTATCTAACTCATATCTAAGTCCTCACTGTAAAAAAGGAAAAGGATCTCCAAAAGAAAAGTGTGTTCTCATTCAAGGCAATAAGATAACAACAGACCTTTAGGGTTTCACCTGACGAACCATTCTCCACATCGTAACCCATCCATTGAAAATGTGATTATCCTTTCTCTTATTCCTAACGAGAACATAAGATGGGATTGTAGATCCATTACTCATTGCCAATCATAAATGGAATTTTAGGATCTATCCCACCTTTTTTATTACGTAGTATGTGACTGGTTCTGAAATTTAAAGTTTGACAAACTGGGAGACAGTGCATGGATTTTGATGAGAAGCTGATAAAGTGCCTATATTTTCCAGGTAGCTTACATTAATGATTAATAATTAATAGTAAGTTTATTAACCTAAATAATCTCCCTACACCATATACAGTAGTTTTACCTGATCTGCTCTCTTATTGATAAAACAAAAGCAAATACAGGGTACTGTACCAAGTTTCATTTTGTAAAATTAATTTTAGATATTTCTCTCTAGAAATCCAATCAAAAAGCAAATGATTTTGTTATGTTAATGAACTTAATATTGTGATCATATTTGAGATGCATGCTTTAGAATATTTAGTTTTGAATCATTGATTAAAAATTAGAGTATTCTGACTTACTTTTGGTGATTTTTATATAAAATCATATAGTTGTTATTTCACCTATACAGTTGCCCTCATTCATTCCTGTGGTTGTGTCCCAATAAGTGAATCTGTAGAAAAGAGGATAGGTTTTATAGTTAAAGAGGGGTTATGTTTTAGCCACAGTTCCCTTTTGACAATGGTTCTTAGCTGCATTAATTTTCCTGTATACATTAATAATAGTTTAATACAGTACCTAAATTTTTTAAATTTTATTGAATGAACATTATAAATTAATAAACTTTACTCACCAATACATTTTCTTGTTCTTGCATGGAGAAAGGCTGATGTTAGGTGAGGGTAGAGAATAATACATGGTTGTGTGGGGAGAAGCTGTGTAGGATCGTCAGGGTTATCATTGCGTAGAAGTTGGGTCATGGTGAGTGGAGAAAAGCTGCTCAGGTAAGTTAACATGGGTACTGCTGCCACAAGCTGGATTCACAGCTGTATATTTTGAAGGGGATGTTAGTGTACATAAGTTACAAAACCTCAGTGGTTGAGCTGTACATTACTTGTCTAGGATGGATAAATAGTCAGGTCATCAAATAGTGTACCTGTATACAGGTTGATTTAATTTAGATATCTTTATGGCATATAAGCAATACATAAATTAATACAGTATTTCTCTTGATCTAAACAGAATGGAGGAGGTATTAGCAAATTTTAATTAGACTGCACTGCATTGTCTGGTATGCTTGCATTGAACAGTGATATAAATATTTTATAAAGATAATCAGTTTTGTTCACTGCAAATGAACTAGAGAAGATAGCCGTTGGTTATTTCATGAGATAGGAACGAAGAACATTAAAAAAAAAAGTTGAATTGCAATGTAAAAAGACATGTAGTAATTCAATACAAATAAGGGGTTAGGGACCACGGCCCAATATATACACCAAACAATACTTAACAAGTTTATTTACCTACTGAACACAAGCAAGAAATGAACAGTGTTCTGGTACACCATAGTAAAATTAATATAACTTTGAGAGTGTATATTGACAATAAGCAGAAGTTCTCAGATCATTGTGAGAAGAAGGTAAGCAGCAAAGCTAGTAGGTCTTATAAGAAAGGTGTTCGCATATGTAGATGGCCCATCTATCATAATGCTCTTCAAAAGTGAGGTGCTTTCCGTTTGGAGTACTGTGGAATTTGGAATGTAAAAAGTAAACTTTTTATGTGTAAATCTGGTTCTTGTGAAGCCAGTTTAAATGAGGGGAACCTTTATGTGTCTAATTTTAAATGATTTTATGATGCTTAATTTACCATTCTAGTGCACTGCAATAATAGATTATTATAAAGTTTAATTACTTGGAGAAGTTACCTTTATTTGTAACCATCTACTGAACTGTTTTCTCTACTTACCCTATGATACTGGTTTCAGGTTTATGTTAATGATTCAAGTGGCTGGAGTGATCGAGCCCGAGTCTTCATATATCTTCTCCGTGAGGACCAAAGAGTGAGGTTCATCCTCAGGCAGTCACCTGACGAGGTACGTTACATAACAGTCTATTTCCTTTATTGTGTATTAAAGTGGAAATTAACTAGACGTACTATATATCTGTAGTAATATGTACTGACTAATACTCACTTTTGTACTTGTACTTGTGTACTGTAGTTGTTTGTGTTAAATGATTGAAGATTTTATTAGCATGGATGGATAAGAATGTTTGGTGTTAGTATTTCTAGTTAATATCATAAAATTTTCAAATTATTGTACCCTGTATATAGATAATTTAGTTTAAAGAAACTAGTAATAATTGACCTTCTTCATATAAATAATCTTGTATTGACCATTTATGTTCAGGTACGAGAACAAGTCGAATACTTCCGAGACTACCTTGGGAATGTTACTGGAGCCATCGTAAATGTGGATGATTTTCGAGTTCATGAAAATCATGATGGAACTGTGGATAAAACAAAAACTGATTTGTACCTGCACCTGGTGGACCGAAATGATAATTCTGTTCTAGAAGTAAAACAAGTGTTGGCAATGATTGACAAAAATGTTGAGTATTTGGACCACCTCTTCAAGGTAAGGATATGTAATGTTATTATTAATGTAAATACCTGGTAAATATTGTGAACATATTTTGAATCACATACAGTATTTATATGATTCTATATACTGTATTGTCAAAATTATCATACTGCATATTAAAAATACATTAAGTATTCTATACACTGAAAAATTTTCATAGCAAAACTCAAAATGCTAACTCTATGGTTATGGTGTAGATTGTTAAAGTATGCACAATGATGTTGGAGTCTGCAGTAGATAGCAATTTTTCTCATTGTAAGTATCTTTAAAACTGCTCAATGCTTCTCACAATTCTTTCTGGTCCTTCAGCTTCTCTTTCACTATCCTGGCTAAGTACTCCTCAGATATTTAAATTATCATCAATCTTCTATCCAGCTCTCTTTGTGCAAATTTTTCCATTTAAATATACAGTTGCCTGCACATGCAATATTCCTCACCTCACAGCCTTCTCAGTACATGTGGTAATAATTTTTCCTTAATTACATTGATCATTAGAGATGGATCCTGTGTATTTGAAAATAAGAAAATATCCAGCAACTGGAAAAATCATGCATTGAAATACTGTAGATGAAAAACTACCTTTTAAATTGCTTACATTATATTGCATACTGCATAGAGTGTATATATTTTCTTTATATTTTTTCATAGATTGCTACTTTATTTAACTATTAAAGCTTTGAAGGATACTGATATTTTCAAACTTTGGTTGCATTGGTAGATAAACTTGTTGCAAGCTTTGGTGGCAGTAGGACACAATATTATTCATATATGCTTGCATGTTAACATGGGCAAAATCTTTACTAACATCTTCGCTACTGTTGTCTAGGAATTAAATGTGTTGGACACTCAGCGTGCAGAGTTGATCACTGCTGGTACAGCAGAGGAGGACCTTCTCTTTTTGTGGCTGGTTGGTGTGATTGTCTTCCTGACTCTTCTTTTGGTCCTCACTGTGGCCCTGTGCTTGTCACAAAGAGCACGCTACTCCAGGCAGCTCAAAGCTGCCACAGCCACTGCATTTGGTGAATGTAAGTGAAACTGACTCCACCCTCTTTATTTATGAGTAGCAGTTAGAGGCATAATATATTTTCACACAATGGGAGAAATGTATATTTATTATTATTAATTTTTTATACCCATCCTTCAAGACAGTATGGTATTTTAAAATACATGTGTTTATTGAATTCGGTATAATTTTATACCCATACTTTATTATTATCACTGAATGTCAATATAAATTTTCTTTAAAATAACCCAGAACCCTTTATTTATTTCCAGATAATTAGCAGGGGTAAAATTTGGTAATGATATGAAACATCTTCTCACCAGGTTCACATGACCCAGGCCTGAATCGTTCATCAACAGTCCCAAACACAAATATTCACAGTGTTGAAGGAAGTAATCCAATTTGGATGTCTGGATTTGACAATGAGTGGTACAAAGATGAGGATTCACTTAGGTATCAACAATTTGTGTGAGTTTTGCACTGCTTTTTGTTTGTTATTGTGTTTTTGTAGTATGTTTATGTTACAGACTTGTTTTGTTGTGGAAATATGTACACTTTGATTTTAATCCTACTTTCAAAACAGGCTAATGTAAACCAGATTGATTAAGTGTTCACCCTTAGTCTTTCTTCCTTAATACTGTATTTGTTTCTAACTTTTCTTTCATTAGGTGTGTTTATGTTATGTTTTGCATTTAATATAAGCATTGGGTTTGATCCTGGGTATTGTGTATTTTTGTTTATTACCACTCTGCTCAGCCTCTTGCACCTGGTTCTCATTTGTGGAACCTCTCACCTCAGTTTAGAGAATGCAATTGTATGTAGATAAACAGTTTCCAGTACTGTAGTATATTTTTTGCATGCTTCACCTCTTTTGTAATCATTTCACTATTTATACATGCAGACACTGATGCACATATCCTGCAACAGTTGTTGTACAGAATGATTGGAAGTTGCAATCCCTATCAACACAGAGCTAAATGAGCTCACACATACTACTTGTTATTGTCACAGTACAAGATTCTTTGGCAGGTTGTTCCAAGAGTTTACAGCTCTTACTCCAAAAAAGGACGCAATTATAATTTTTGTACTGATAGCTTCTTTAACATGAAGCTGTGGGGCGCCATCTGCTAACTCCATAAATGTACAGTGCATGTGACTGAGTAATGTCCTTTGAGGTGCTTCTAAACTTCTGTTAAATTGCCTTTTGTCCTTCTATAGTATAAACTATTCAATTGAAGATGTTAAATCTCTTGGTAAGTGAGGTAGGTTAAAGAAAAAACACTTATCAAAATGGGCACATTATTCACCAATGCATGTATATACAGTGGAACGTCGATTTAAAGTGATTCAATTTCAGATTAAGGACAATGTTTTAATTTAAAGCGAATCTTTCCTATTTTGCGCTAGTCAATCTTGTGCATCATATTTTAAAATTCGCACCTAATATTTCTCTGGGCACGCTACAGTGTCTTAAAGGCAAACCTGTACTGTACATGTACTAAAAATAATGTACTAAATGATTACTAAAATTTTTGTCTAGTGCAAATTATAGCATGATTTTATTCAAATTAATCACCATCTTATAAGAATTCCAGCAATGTAAATTATATTTTGCCCGGTCACTTCTGTGACATTTTATGAATAAAAAACAAAAACTTAATCTAAATGACATAAATAAACAAATAAATACTTCACTAAACCTTCGGCCCCCAACTGTCATATGTGTCGCTGTCACCCCCCCATCTTCCCAGCCAGGGTTTGGATGGTTATAGCCTTACAGTTTTTATCTTATGTAATACTAGCGGAATCACCGCTCTTTCGTTAGGCCACGGTAGGATGCCACCTTCCGGAAGGCTCCACATTGTCTCACTGTAGTGCATTAAGGTAGACCACATTTTTGGTTTTGCCATTAGCAGCAAGTATGTACAGATTCTTGCCAGTTCCCACTCTGGAGCATCCAACATAGAACTGTCCATGAGAGAAGCAAGGAAACACCAGGTTTAGGCCAACCATCTTCAGGGACTGTCCCTGGCTTTTGTAGATGGTCATGGCAAAGCTCACTTTAACCGGGAACTGAAGTCGCTTGAACTCAAATGGCAGGTCAGTGGTGATGAGAGGTATCCTTGGTATAAAAACGTCCTCTCCTTTAGTTTTTCCTGTCAGTATTGTAGCTTCCAGTACATGTGGCATCATGTTCTTCACCACCAGTCTTGTGCCATTGCAGAGGATGGGTGGTTCAAGATTTATTAAGAGCATTATAGGAGTTCCATTCTTTAGAGTGAGGTGGTGAGGAATTCTGCAGGGTACTGGACTGCTTGGTCCTGGTCGATTACTGTATCAACAGATTTGAATGAGGTCTCACTGCCTGGAAGCTGTCTGAGTAGAGTCATGTTGATTTCAACCACTGTTTCATTCTTTGGCGCCAGAATTGCTCATTCACGCAGCCACTTGTGATCCTTGTAGTGGTGGATAATGTTTGGGTAGACCATGTTAGTGAGCTCAGTTGAGGACTTTACAACATTTCCACATCCTTGAGGAATGATTATTTGTCCTTCTGAATCAACAGGGAAAGTTCCATTCCCAATCTGTAGTAGAAGGTTTGCAAACCGTCCAGCATCTTGATCTCCTTGTAGATGTACTCTCATGTTTGTGGATAGGGTGAGTGTGTGAACACTTCTCCAAAGGTATGATGCCTTGAGGCACGCATTCAGTTCATAAGCTGGAGTGCTTCGAGGAATGACAGGTAGGGTCTGGTGAAAGTCTCCAGGAATGCCCATTGTAATGCCACCCATGAGCTGGTCATTTTCTCCTATGTCTTGCAAGGTTCAGTCCAATGCTTCAAACCCTAACTTGTGAGACATAGTGCATTCATCCCAGACTATGAGGCTGCATTTCTCTAAGAGTTTGCCTTTGCCGATCCTTTTTGGATGTTGCACGCTGGATTCTCATTGTGAGCGAGGTTGAGAGGCAGTTTAAAAGTTGAGTGTGCAGTAGTGCAGTAGTGTTACAGCAATACCTGAGGATGCCACAGCAATAGCAATTTTCCCCTGATGACGTACTTTGGCCAACAGAAGGTTGATCAGGAATGTTTTTCCTGTCCCGCCAGGTGCATCGAGAAAGATCATACCTCCCTGCTCCGCTTGTATCGCTTGCAAGATCTGTTCATTAGCATTTGCTTGATCAGGCACCAGGTGAGGCTCATTTTCTTCAAGAAAATTCACCAGAACTTCAACTGAGTAGTCTGTCTCTCTGAGCAACTCCCTGTTTGCAACTACTGGTTCTTCTCGGTTTGGGGAAGGCAATCCAAAATCAATCAGGTTTTTTCCGCATAGCTCCATCACTTTGTCTTCCAGCATGATCAGAGCCCTGTTGAACATGTCATCCATGAACTCAATCTCTTGACCTGGATGTTCTCTTCTTGCTTGATGAAGCAGATACTCTGAAAGACTTTCTTGGTGGTTTTTCCAGAGCTGGCTTGGGTTGGAAAGTCCACATGTAGCATTCATGATGGCAAACAGGTTCCTCATTCTCATTGGCGATTGAGTAGCTGCTGCCTCTTCTAATGTGTCATTCCAGTGACCATCATCTTCCAGTAGGCCAAGGAAATTGCACGCTTCCTGATAGGTTCTGCAGACTTGTCCATTCACTGTCTTAGTGCTGCATATGATGTTGGGCCACGGATGTGGTGCAAAAGTAGTTTCAAACAATAGCATTCAAAGTTGTTGGGGTGAACCGTGTAGACACGTCCCAAAGCATTGCCTGACTTTATTCCTGGATATCCTTCAACATCGGATCCTTGAGCTCTTCTCTGGAACTTTTTCATTGAAGCCTGCCATATGTAGAACTTGGGTACGTCAACATACAGGAGGATTTGAGCAAACTCACCTTCCGGTGAAACTTTGAAGAATGCAGTGAGGTCCAGGCAGCTCATTCGCTAGGCCACGGTAAGACGCCACCCTCCAAGAGGCTCCAAATTGTCTCACTGTTCAGTCCCCAAAACTTCTTCTTCCATCAATAGTTCATTAACGGTGTATGTAAGTTCCACTACAACAGTACAGCAAAGTATATTTTTTTAGCATTAAACTGTTATTATTTTATTGTCTAATCATCACTACATATAACACCATCCATCATCACTACATATAACACCACCCATCATCACTACATATAACATCATCCATCATCACTACATATAACACCATCCATCATCACTACATATAACACCACCCATCATCATCACTGCATATAACACCGTGCTGGATTTCTTGTAAGACCAGGTATATTTTGAATATAAATGTCATATATTTTGCACAAAAGATAACATATTTACTCAGAGTAAACATTATATCTAAAATTTGTATGTCTAATGCAAAATCTATGATGTTTATATTCAAAATGATCACCAAATTGTAAGAATTCGAGCAATGTAAATTATATTCTGGCCGGGTAATTTGTATGAATTTTATGAGCTAAAACAAATATCTTCAGTTAATAAAAAAAAAAATATTCTTCAAGACACTATCTGTCAATCAAAGTACCCCACCTTGCCTCTCCCCCTCTTCCAACCGCGTGGTCAGTCCCAACCCTCCCCCCAACCCCCCACCAATCCTCCCTTCAAGAGATGTTGGGTGAAAAAACTAAATTTTAACATTTGGTATTAAATAATACCTCAGATTAAAGTTAGGATAATATAATTGACACTGCTGGATTCATACAAATTACCCGGCCAGAATATAATTTACATTGCTGGAATTCTTACAATATGATGATCATTTTGAATATAAACATCATAGATTTTGCATTAGACATACAAATTTTAGATATAATGTTTACTCTGAGTAAATATGTTATCTTTTGTGCAAAATATATGACATTTATATTCAAAATATTCCTGGTCTTACAAGGAATCCAGCAATGTCAATTGTATTATCCTAACTTTAGTTTGAGGTATTATTTATTAAAATTTAGTGGTTTTCCCCCAAAAATTTCTCAGAGAGGGAAGAGCCGGCAGTGTAGTGTGAGAGGGGGAGGGAGTTGAGTCCATTATTTGAATGGACATTAACTTGGCGACTGTATTTCTCTATTTCTCTTAAGTATTAATTGTGTGCATGTACCATCATAAAATTAAGATGTTATTTTTACTACAACATAGTTATGTGTCTTCAAAAAGTGGAGTTTGGGGGTCGGGCCGGTTTCTATTGGAATTAATCCCATATGTTCTGTTGTTCACTTAACGCGGATTTCACTTAACACGGGACCCTCTGGGTTCTATTGACCGCGTTAAGTGGGGTACAACTGTATGTGGTAATTTTAAAGCTGTGCCGATTATAAATGTGAGTGGTTCCCAATTAGATGTTTGGATTTGGCAGGATAATGTTCAGTAACAGTGGGTGGGGTTTTACCGGTAATAAAAACCTGTTCATTCTGTAATACTGAATGTTCTTAAACTAATTAACAGTAACTACAGGACAAGTGTAATAAATATTATTAGGAAAAAATTTATCTTTGTAATGAAAAAAAATAATTGGGCAAAAGAAAGTTTGCTGAAATGGCATTAGCAATGTTGGGCTATCTTTTATTATTTTCGCCATTAATTGGCTCATTAGCCACTGGTCTAGCAGTATTGCCTATTGTTCTGAACATAAACATTAAGACATTATTGTTATGTAAACACAGAAAGCTCTACATGTGTTAGAAATGATGGAACATAGTATGTATGTATAGGTACACTATAGGAATTACAAAATACTGTGTTAGTACTGGGTAGTTATACAGTGCAGTGCAGTAAATGAATGTGTAGCTACAGTATGTGCATACCTGTACATACATGTTTATGCAAGTGTTTGTATGTGTGTAAGTGGGTGTGTAAATAAGTGTGGTGCCTATGTGTATGCATGAACATGCATATGAGTGTACTTGTGGACATGTATTGGTTTAAGCTGACTAATAAAAATGGTAAGTCTAATAAGAAGACTGGAAAATTTTATTTATGATTTTAAAGAAACTTTTATTATAAACTAGCAGAAACGCTCTTTCTCTAGGCCACGGTAGGATGCCACCCTCGGGGAGGCTCCACATTGTCTCACTGTAGTGCATTAGGGTAGACCACATTTTTGTTGACGGAGAGAGAGCGCATAAGGATAAAATTAGCTATAATACGTGAGATGGGATACGACTTTTCAACCTCTGTGTGGTGTAAAGGATGGAGGTTAGATGCAGAGAAAAGTAAGCCATAATGAAAGAGAACCTAAGGATCAAAATAGCTGTAAATCATAGGAGGGAATACGACTTTTCTACGTGTGTGCGTCCGGGCTGACCGTTAGTCTCTCTCACTTTCTTTCGTTCTCTCAGGCGTGTCGGGTCGGGTCGGGTTGGGTGTGTCGAATCGGGTTGGTTGGAGTTTTTTTGACATCCCCACATGACACTTGCTATCCATGCCAAGTTTGGTCCTGATTGGTAAAGTAGTTTCTGAGATTCTCGTGCGGACACACAGACGAACAGACAGACATGCTTGCCTCGCCAGCATGTCATGTCTGCAGAAATGCCGCCCTCCGGACGGCTCATTCGCTAGGCCCCGGTAGGATGCCACCCTCCGGGAGGCTCCACATTGTCTCACTGTTCAGTCCCCAAAACTTCTTCTTCCATCAATAGTTCATTAACGGTGTTTGTAAGTTCCACCATGTTTTTCACTACAACGGTACAGCAAAGTGTATGTTTTAGCATTAAACTGTTATTATTTTATTCTTTAATCATCACTACATATAACACCACCCATCATCACTAAATATAACATCATCCATCATCACTACATATAACACCATCCATCAACACTACATATAACACCATCCATCAACATTACAAATAACACCATCCATCATCATTACATATAACACCACCCATCATCACTACATATAACAACATCCATCATCACTACATATAGCACCATCCATCATCACTACACCATCCACCATCACTACAGATCGGTAAAGTAGTTTCCGAGATTCTCGTGCGGGCACACACACACACAAACAGACATACTTCTTTATTTTATATACTTGTATATAGATTCACGTTTTTTTTTTACCTACAAATATATGTGTACTCTTAACTGTTGTTAATAAATGCTTTATTTCCTTCACAGCCATCAGAGTGAAGGGAACGATAGTTTAGATGATAATGCAGTAGACACCTCCCTCTCCCCACGAGGCGACAGGGACATGCCCTACATCACCCAAACAAATGTTCCCAATCCTTTGTCAAGGTGAGCTCTCTGATTACAAGTACAGGGGGTATAAATATTTGTGATATTGATAATAATAGTGTATATATTTAGGTATAGTTAATAAAAAAGATATATTATATAAATTTTGTTTTCTTTGATAGTATACATGGACTGAGGGTGAGTTGAAAGGAAGTAATGTATATATACCAGTTGATTAATGCAATACTGTTTGTATGTTAACAGTCTTCTTATACACTTCTTTCATCTTTCATTAAATTTATGTGTATGTAGGTTTTATGTTCATGTTCTGCAAACTTACAGTTTTTTTATTTCAGGGAATCCAGTACGGTGGGTTCCAATACCCAACTGATGAACCACGAACAGCAGAATATCAATGACACTTACCGAGCTAATTTGTACCAGACTTTTCACAAGATTGCCAACCCACTTGTTGATAAAAAACTTGAGACTACTGAACTTTGACATTTGAATATAGAAATAAAGTATGAGAGTAACTGTTAACTTTGAACACATAAAAGTCAAAGTCCTCAGGTGATAACAAAAATCTCCAACCAGTATGCCAGAAGTTTATGTGAATGTACATAGACAATGGTACAAGTTGCCAGTGTGATAATTGAAGTATCTAGTTGCTTACCTTACTCACAAAACTGTGGGTGGTAATTTGTGATAATTTAATTCAGAATTAATGTCAAGCCTCTTGGACATTTTTAATGAGCAAGGGAAGTGATCAGTAAGTTCATTACCTGTGGCATTGAAGTCCATTTAAACCGAACTGTGAAAACTGTTGCTTGAAAAGAAAATGTATGTATTGTATGTAGATATACCTGAATTTTATCAAGCCCATTGGAATTTTAATCATTTTTTTTAAGGGTGTTACCTTAAGAGTGCAAAGAATCAATTTGACCCAGTGAATAGATGCTGTATGGCAGTTCACTGCTAAAGAGTCGAGCTGGTCACTACTGCAGTTGCCCTTGTCATCTTGAAACCAAATATTCATGATTACTTTGTGCAGTATTTCCATACCTGTTGGTTAAGTCACTCATTTTAAGTTGCATACACTGTACACCCAATTTTCTACATTGTATCCATAAGTCAGCTCTTCCAAATTTATTCATGTTCTGTACTACTCAGTTTTACTGATCTTTGCTGATATGTTTTTCTTTATCAGTTGAAGTTTACAGTAAATATTTATAATATTAGTGTTTGGCATGTTTTGAAAACATTTAGTATCAAGTGCCTAAATATTTTTGTGATAGAAAATTGCAAATTTCTTATTTTAAATGAAACAGTTCACAACTTTATCATACAACGATTTACAGCAATTACTCAAAATAATGAGTGAATTGCTCCACCTTGTAGATATTTGTTCATAAAATTACATTAGTTAAGAAACGCATTGACAGTGTGTGATTAGTCATGTTTAATATTTTAATTACAGTATTTGATACAACGAATATATTTTAAAATAGCATGGTGACACCAATAAAGTCATTGTACATATTGTTAGCTGTTATTTTTTTTTACCCCTCCTAAAGTCAGAGTACTGTAGGCATACACCAAGGAAAATTATAGGGAAATTCAACTCCATTATATTTTCTTTAGGCCCCTGACACTGGCACCATTTGTTAAACAAAGCTGAAATCATAGAGAGTGGATTTTGGTGTGCTTGAGAATTTTTTTTTTTTAATGGTAACTCCAATATTTCATGCTTATTTCACTTGCTGTATTATCAGTAATTATTTAATTATAGTACTCATGTTTTACATTTATAATTTTACCACTCATCTATTTGGGCAGTTTGTCTGTTCTTTGTTAGTTTTATTATGACCTTTATTGTCTAGTGTTAGTACAGAAGGAAACTGTAATACAGTGATCCCTCACTTTACGCGGTTAATTGAACCCACGGCGGCCCTCGTAAAGTGAGAAACGCGTAAAGTGAACAACATAACATAAACTTCACTTTTTCCCAACACAATACGTACGTTTTACTAAAAATAACATCTTAACTTTATGATGGTATTCACCCACACATAATATAGAAGGGAACAATCAATAAGAGAATAATAAACTGAAGGTTAGGTTAGAAAAAAACGGAAGGTTGGGGTTAACATTTACGTTAGTAGAAGAGATGGGTCGGTGTAGGGGAATGGAGGCTGGTTCCGAGGCAGAGGGCAGGCTACTGGCCCTCAGGTGAGTCTTCATCGGTGTCATCCACACTTTCTAGTGCCTCCCTGACAAATCCCTCAAAGTCATCATCACTGTCTCTGCCTCTCACTATCACTAGTTTGGGCTGGCTGTGGTGGGTTGCGGGCGAAGAACTCTGTTATGCTTTGATGACGGCTGGTGTTTATGTTGTCGTGATAAACCTTGATGTAAGGCTCCATAGTCTGCAACAGCTGGGTAGTGAAGATTTCATACCTGTTTGCATCAGGGTCGTCGGAAAGGAGGAGCTTGACTTTCTCAATACACTCGATGGCACCCCTTACATTACTATGGGATAAGCAGCCTTCTTCTTGGGATGACGCACCACCTGCCTCTTCACTGACGTCATCATCAACTACCATCTCGTCGGTAGTCACATCAGGATCCCTTATCACCTCCAGGATGTCGTCGTTGGTGGTCTCGGAGAAGCCTGCAGCTGTAACACTCTGCACAGCTTCTCTGGCAAGGTCCACTGCTACTGCAACAGTCTGAACCTCACCAGTCACAGATTTACTCTGCCTAACACCCGGAATGCCTTGCAACACATGTCTCCATGCGTGACAAACAGTTGCTACAGACAGCTGATCCCATGCCTCCACCAAGAAGTCCACAGCTTTCTTGACGTTGAATGTTCTCCAGAATTGTTTCAAAAGTACTTCTTGCTCTGCCAACTGTTGATCCTCGTCGTCTTCGCTCTTGCTATCGGTGTTGGTGTTACTCAGGTTACGCAACTTTTCCTTGGTGTTGGTGTAATCGTTCAGGAGGTTGAATTTTTTAGCAGAGAATGCAGCTTTTACATTACAGATCAATTCTTGGTCCATGGGCTGTATTATAGACGTAGTGTTGGGAGGAAGGAAGACCACTTTTACGTTGGGGTGATGATCTAACAGTAGGGGCGAGTGTCCTGGTGCATTGTCAAGCAGCAACAAAATCTTGAATGGCACATTCTGTTGCTCACAGAATTTCTTCACGTCGGGAACGAAACAGTCATCAAACCAGGAGAGGGACAGTGTAGAGAACATCCACGCCTTAAGTGCGGTCAGCCAGTGGACATTTAGCTTGGTCAGGTCCATGCTCTTGTAGGCGTGCGGCTTGCGTGCTGTGTGGATCACCGATAACTTGAGCTTACAGGTACCGGAGGCATTGGTGGTAAACAGGACGGTGATGCGCTCCTTCTGCAACTTCCGGCCCCGACACTTGCTGGCATTCTTCACAACGAAGGTCTTGGAAGGTAGCTTTTTCCCAGAAAGACCAGATTCGTCCATGCTAAACACCTGGTCGTCGGTGTACTGTCCTTCCTCCATAATCTCACGTAAAAATGGAGGAAATTCCCTAGCCGCAACACGGTCAACACTAGCTTCTTCACCACCAATGTTGATATTGGTGATCTTGTTCCTCTTCTTAAACCTCTGTAACCACCCAGAGGAAGCATTAAAGGGTTTGGGCTCTGTAATTCCCATCTTTCGTGACACTGCAGCATACAGTTCACGTGCGTACTCCTTAACTGAGCGCGTGTCCACCGCCATGTTCCGTCGCGCCTGACGCACCAAGTAGCTCGCAAGTAATTTTTCCGTCTTGAGAAGCACCTGGTTGTGGAAATACTTGATCATAGAAGCACCTGTAGACTTTGTGATGTTCATCTGCTCCTTTAACTTGGCTGCATCCTTCTTAATTGTCCTGATAGTTGATTCGTTAACACCATGCTGGCGCGCGAGATCAACCTGTCTTGTTCCTTTCTCCAACTCTTGTATGATCTTATATTTTATTTCATAGCTTAAGGAGCATCGTGTCTTCTTTGGCTTAGGGTGGCTGGGTCCAGGTAATGCAAGGTTTCTTTGTGGTGGTGGTGGTGGTCCGGTGGAAGCCATTCTTATGGAACAATGGATACCGATATACACGGTGTAGTCGGGAGGGGTGTAACTGACGCGGTAGGTCAAGGGGGCTTGAACGCTCCCGCAGCGGGGCACATCATAGTACTACATTAAACCAATCACAGCTAGCAGGGAGGGAGGTAAGGATGCTTTGCCCAATCACAGTCCGCTACGTCATATGACGTCACCGATAACGCAACAAAGACATACACTGCGCAACCTACTCGCGCCGCTTACACACAACTTTTTTCCGCCCATCTGTGCCACGTGCAACAAAATTATCTCCATCCGACACATTCTGACTGAGTGCAGCCAGTACGAACCAGAACGCCGGCAGCTGGTGATGCTAGCTGCCAAGCGAGGCTTCGTGCTGACTGTACTCAATTTATTGCAAGATGATGTCACCATAAGTGATGCTGTAATAATCTTCCTCAAGGAGACCCGTCTTATCGGCATGTTGTGAACTCTTCTTATAATATGTATGTAACCATGCCCTAAAGAAAATAAAAATGAATAAATCAAAAATTAAAACATACAACATCAGAGACATATCACAAACCTTTCCATTACATACAACATGCACATATACTAAGTAAAACTGACACCTACCAACACATATTCAAACAAAAAGACACGGGCCACAAAAAAGACAATTAAAAAAAAAATAATAATAATCAGAGAAACTTGTCACCTGACCGGCCATTTCATCTGGACTGTCAGTAACTCATTCTCATATCACTCACTCATACCATAATTCATCCCAAATAAAACAACAAGAAGAAAGAAGAAACCAAAATACCAAGAACGAGAAGAACACAAGAATAACAAGAAAAGAGGAAACAAGAACATCAGATTAGTTGTAGCAAGAAAGAAGACCAAGAGTAAAAGAAGAAACCTCAAGAAGAAGAAAGAAGACATCAGCTTCGGCCAAAATAGCCTAAAGGCGAAGTGGCTAGCAATCCCCAAGTCTACTACTACTGCGAAATTCCCCACAGAGATTCACCAGCCAGCCTTCGCCGTGAACGGTCCTCTCCTCACCGCCAAAGCAGCCAGCCTTCTTTCTACTGTTGACGACCGGACTACAACTCGAACTCTCTGTCTACCACTGGACTTCCCAGAAATCCTGTTTTGGGCAACGCCCCTTGGGGGCCTCCGCCTTTGGAAACGACCACGACTGCCACCGGACTACCTCACGAATGTTCAGGACTGTCAACCCTAGTTAGCTCTCCCCACGGGTAGAGTAAGTGACCCACACTCCTGCTGGAGGGCAGCTATTGATTGGCAGAACTGACGTGGTTTGAGGTCTTTCTCTCTTGCTGAAATCCTTCCTTACTTACCCTGGCCGAGGCACCTGCTTATTTTAAGCATTCTTTCTAGAGCCCTTCCAGTGGAGCATACCTCACAGTAGGTGGGATTGTGTGTGTCCGTTGGAGGTCGGGGGAACACAGGCCAATCCGGCAGTGGACAAACAGTGATAGTTCAGTTACACCACTGTCCGGGGGTCGCCTATAGGCACACTAAGAAGGATCTTAAATAACCTTCTTTATCACCCACAATTAATACATGCTAGGAAGACACAAACAAATAAACCATGGCTACCAAGGTTAGACTCAAGATCATAGACAAGAGAACAGCCCCTTCACGTTCTCAGATAACTGAAACAGCGTATGGTACACTCAATGTACCCTTCACAAGGATTTTCTCATCGAAAGATGGATACACTGCAATATGCAGGGACTACAGGGATGCAGATACCATTCTGAGCCCTGAGGGAATGCAAGCCTTTGGAGACATAGGACTCCAGGTCATCATGCCACCAGAGGTTAAAGCAAAAAGACCAGTATTTGTACGTGGACTTGACTACGAATTTGGAAAGCCTTCGGCACAAGAAATAAAATAAGAACTAGAAATAAAAAACAACCGGTTAAAAGTCGAAGAAGTGGTAAAAATAAAGCAATACACACATTGCTTAAAGCTGAGATTCACTGATACTTCAATGGCAGACAAGGCCCTGGAATCTGGAATCTTAGGGTTCAACATGTCAGTACTCCCTAAACAACTAGAAATGAAGAAATACGTTAATATTCTCACCTGTTTTATCTGCTATGCACATGAATCTCATGCAACAAAAGACTGTTCTCAAAAGGAACTTAAAATATGCTCTGAATGTGCAGAAGAAGGCCATACCTTCCGGGACTGCAAGAATCAAGCCAAAGCATGTATAAACTGTAAAAATCGGAAGGAACCAGGATATAAGACCCACAGAACCCTAGCAATGGCCTGTCCATACAAAATGAAAATAATAAATGAAAAAGTAGCAAAGGAAAAACAACAACAAGAACAGAAGGAGAATACAACATATGGTGCTATTGCAAAGAAAGTAGTTGAAGAAACAACACAACCACAGAATACCACCAAAATTGTACTGAGCGA